AGTATCGGTAAATTGAGTTCCTAATTTGTACAGAACTATAGACTTAGTATTTTGACATCACAAACATTTAATTTGAACCAATGGTGCATTCAACATACTACATGACACACAAAAATCGATGTTTAACTGTATTTTTCTAATATTTACTTTTAAATTAAGAAATTAAATAATGTATAATACTAAAATCTAAATTATAATCTACAGTTTGATAGCAAAGTTATTTGCATAAATTCATGAAATAGTGGTTCAATAAAATTTTGAATGCAAGTCAACAAACGTGATGACATGGCCTTTGACCTGTAACCCATCTGGAGAGGGTTAATCGGATGTATGTCACATGTAACTGTGTGATATTATGTGACTGGTTTGACCCAGTTGGCCATCTAGTGGAATAAATACATTAGCGTATTCTGCTAACAAATCACTGAGTTGCTGCTGCTGCTTCGAGTCTAGATTGTTTGCAGAATCCTCAACTAATGAGTTCAGATGTGTTTCTATCAAAGCCTTTACTTTATGTGCTGCTATGGAAGCAATCGTAGTATTACTGCTAGTAATTATTACTTTCAATTTATTTAGCATGCCAATTACTAGTCCTTGTAGCTGGATAATCTGTTATCCATAACTGCAGAACAAAACTGGGACTTCATCCTTCCTTGGTTAGATAACTGCTCAAGCTAATGCTTCATTCTTTGTAGACAAGAAACAGACTATATCATGCTTGGGCTAAATAACTGCATTACACAGCACTGAAATACACATTGTCTATAATGAGCTTACAGAACACTACTTGTATACATAAGAGTGCTGTGCCTTTCTCTACTATATACACTTGTACAGTCCTGTTTTTGTGGTCCATTTGGCCAACATTGGGTATATTACTGTGGAATATCACTTCACCTGTTGCACAAGCACAAACTGACTTATAAGCTATGCAGTACACCCATTCCAAGAATGCTATTGCAAAAAACAAGGTTCAGCAACAATTCTTTTGTTTTGTAAGTGAACCCTCCCAGACATAGTTGGAGCATGACCCCTCCATTCATGTCTAGTTTGCCAGAACAAAGTTTGTTTAAACTAGCCAGAATTGTGATTTTGCTGAAAATACTTGATATGTTACAATGTCTGTTTGTGTTCTTCTCACTTTTATATTAGCCAAGAACTCTTATCTCTCACCCTTGTACTCTGACAGGTATGTACAAAGTCCCACCAAGTCTTGAAAGAACTGGGCTGATCACTACACTTTTTAGTATTTGCTGCACTCACCCACATTGATGGCCATACTTGGGCATATCTAGCTTTTCAGAGCTACAGCTGCAGTTTTCATTGCCTGCTGTTAACTTCTGAACCTGTTGCACCATTTCTCACAACTGATAGACTTCTAGGGCCAGTTCACTAAAAGTTACCCAATGCTCAACACCTTTCTGGGTAGCATCTGAGTGGAGGTATCAGTGGCATGTGCTGTGGCATATAAATCATTGGAGCACTGGGATAGCCCTTTGCATTCATTGGATATCAGTGTGGCTACATTGCAGTGTCAAGATGTATTGGTGGACTTAAGCTGGGCACAACAGCTGTGCCTGGGTATGATGGTTTGTCCTAGGTGAAGTCACTACAGCTTCTTATACTAATACTTATTGCATTGTGATGGCAACTGCCCTAGTAAAGATAAAACATTTTCTTACACTCAGTTGATTCCACATCATCTCACTAGTTAGCCTTTTCACAAACCTGTCCACAAGGATATCCTTGAAATCTACTGAGTACATTACTGGGTAAGCTTTACCATGTAAATGGTGCAGATCATCCAGGTAAGTGGTTAATCTTGTATTGGCACCACTCTTATAAGCCTTGAATTCAGTCCAATAGATTATTCTGTTTTTCACCAGGTTCAAACTCCAGTGCAAAATCAGTAATTACGGTATCATATTTGTATCCTCATCCAATTGTTCGATGGAGTTTAGGGCTAGACTATCTAGACTTTCAACCAAGAGTTGAACAGCTTGTTCCAGAGTTCAACCATTCCAGCCCATTATTTGCCTGAAAAATGTCACAAAACATTCCAAATCTTCATTTGGCATACTTTTGAATGTTGCTCATGATGATCAGTGATTGTGGTCAGAAACATCCTGGTCATATCTGACTTAGATATAGTATGATCTTTCAGGGTTCCTGATTATCCCAGTCCAGAGTGACTGACCAACAAATTGCTCCAAACAGCTTGTTTGTCAGCCCTGCTTACCTCTATTCTTTTCCTTGAATCATTTACACTTCGCAGTATAACTAATGACCCAGAGAGTCTCACCACTGCCACATGACCAACTCTCTTCATGGTTTGGCACTTGCTGTTTCACCTGGTGGTGAGATGGCTCCAGTTGGCAGTCATTGTTCACCAACAGTGTCTGCAGTCTCACTCTACTGTTCTTGGTTGGTTTTGACCAGGGTTGAGTTGTATCACTCTGGCTACCTTAAGTCTGGAGGCCCTGTATAAACCACTCTACCTGGTCTCAGACTCACTAGGTGCCAAACCTTCACAGTGATCCTCAGTCTTTGTTTCTCTCTCTCACCAAAGTCAATCCTCATGGGAAGAACTCACAAACTAACCATTTTCCCTCCATGATCAGTTCTTTCTCAAGATTCATAAGACTTTTATTTGTCAACAATGCCATTTCTTTAACCTAGAAGCCTTTTAAAATTTAATAACATAAGAGGTCAAATAAAGGATGGTACACACTTCAACAGCTAAAAGCAGATTTCATAATTGTTCAAATCCTGGCCACAGCACCAAAATTTTTCCCTATATATTCACTCTGTGGCACATTCAGATGAATTATCATTTAATCTGTTGTATGGGTCCACTATATAACTGGATATTTCTTCCAGATGTCAGTTACAGCATTATACTGAGATTCTTACTTAATTGAATAGATGTTAAACAGAATAATGAAACTGGACATAAATGTAGAAGAAAATGTACAATCTTTATTAAACAGTTAAACACTTATGATGAATGATCACCTTTACTGAATTAATAGACTGACTAGATTAAGATAAGTTCCAGATTGACTAAATGTAACATTTCTTAGTTTCCAAGAAAATTGTATTTGCCCAGAATAACATATGTTACTCATGTGACCAGTTATTCTCATTAAACGTTGGTGTGGCTGAAACCTCTAGATATAACTTGTACAGCCATTGAAGGATACTGCTGTCAACATTCTTACATGTCATATTAAGGAATGTTCTCCAAGAGCACTAAAAGACAATACCTATTTCAAGAAAAACAAAATAATGAAGGTAAGTTGAAACAAGACCAAGTTAACGGTTTTCTTGATCATGTGTAATGTGAAACCTGCACATATTTAGAACAAAGAATGAATATCTAATTTTACAAGATGATAGAAATACGCGGTATATTCAATTACCACATATGGTCAGATCTTCAAAGTGTTACTTGATCAAACATGTGAAATGCAATAAAGATAATGTGTCACTAAGTTCTGTACATTAAATCTGTAATGAAGTTAATAATGGCTTACAAGTTCATCCAATGATCCAACTGTTAAGAAAGTTTACAGTGAGTGAGCTTAGAATGAAGAGGGAAATTAGTGTGGCACAGTCATCAAAACATTCATTTTTTCGGGCAATTAAGAGAAAATACAAAATACTTAGGAAAAGAATAAACTTTTAACTTCTTTAGTTAGCCATTATTTTAATGATTAATTTGTTATTGTATTCTAGAAAATGTTTCTTCATATACTCCTGTTTATTAATATAAGCAAATAGATACATATAATACACATAAATTATAAACCATATATCAAATGAATAGAAAGTAAAAACATTTAAGAAAACTCAGTAATTCCTTTAATCATTATTCCACTTTTTGCTATTAGCATTTGATTTTTGTTAGTCGATCTCAAGTTTACTCTTATTTAATTATCAAAACAAGTAGTTACTGCCTTTTCATGAAGACTACCTGATATTATTGTCTTAGGCCTAAAATGAGTTGACCTATTCCCCATTTATGTTTTTTGAGCAATAAAAATCCTAAATTTGATTTACTCTTCAGAGAAATACAACTGTCATTACTACACCAAAATTCTCTACTACTACTTGCATCTGGAATAATGGTGATTACAAGTAACAAGTACAAATGTTTATACAAGTGTCCCTAGTTTTGTTTACAAAACAAGATAATTTTAATGAACACTATTCTGTTGGACCTATCTTAAAACCTAGCCCCAATGAGACTTTGGTTAAGCATATTTATTTGATGCCAGCAAGTACTTATTTGTTATTTTACTCAGCCTTCTACAGCTTTAAATGTATATCTGAATAAACACCCACACTTAAGTTACTGATATGCACTTGATATGTACTCTTTTTATTGAAGTTAATACTAGTTTCTGGGTGTTCCTTCCACAGCCGTTAAATGACATAACTGCATGTGATTGACAAACCTACTTTTTAAGGTTACACCTATGGTTTTGAAAATTTCATCCAAGGCCAATTAATGACACATTTGCATGTGTGTAGAACAATCAACATCTTTATTGTAAGTGAATAATAAAATTTTACACTGTTTGAGAAATATGAACTTGTACTCTTGGACAAAATCCAACATTACTATAAAAATTAATTTTGTTAATTTAATGTTCAACTCCTTTCATTTGATTATTTTACCTGGCTTAATGCCCAACTCATTTCATAAGGATATTCTTGAGCTGATATGAGTATGTGAAGATAAGTAAAGTGTGTATCTGATGTGACATAATTGTGGTAAGATAGTGTCAAATATATTTTGATGTGGCATAAATGTAGCCAAATAAGGAAAAACCTGTATACAGATATGGAACAAATATGACCGAGATCTTTCAACCATATTTTAGAACTGTAAAGGTGAGATCCAGGTATGATTTTTTTTTTTCATAAAGAAACCCTTATTATTGTTTAAAAACACATTTCATAAAATATTCTTGTATGGCTTCATTTATATTTAGATCAACATAGGTCAGAAGGATTTGAGCACAATCTTTTCAATTTATCAAGAAAACTTTGCTGAAGGAAACTTTCTAAAATCAAAAAAGCAAGGTATTGAAAAATTTAAATAGTTACTAATCAAACCTGATTATTTAAAAATATTTAGGCCATAGTAATAACAAGTAAATATAGACTTGATAACTAAAATAGAGAGAGAAAAAAAAGAGACTTAAAATAATGGATGGTTTTGAAAAAAAAATTAGTTTGGCAAGTGTGAAAACATTATATAGTAATTTAAATTGGAAATGTCTTACGTTATAAACTAACACTCACTAAAATAGTTAAAGTTGAATTAAAAAATTATTGCATAATCTAGCCTAAGGTTAACATTCTATAAGAAAACCTAAAATAAGAATTATTGTGTTTCATAAGTCTATCAAACAGTCATTTCATTTTATAGAAATAAAAAATGTATTTGTCTATATTATTTAATAAGCATTAAAAAGGTTATAACTGGTTAGAAAGGATGGGCTTTTGAGTCCTTTTTTTTTCAATGCAAACCTTTTCTGAAATGTGAATATTTAACATTATCTTAATGCAGATGTTAAAACACCAAACATTAAGATTTTAGCTATTCCAAAACATACTTACCTCCGCTGACACTATAGCTATTTCTCGATCTCCAGGATTTCCACTCTTTGCCCATCTAAGCATTGAAAATGGTTGCTCCAGTCTTTATATACCCTGCTTGAATGCCATTGGCAAATTCTAATTTGCAAATTTCTCCACCAACTTCAGTGTGCCCACTATCTAGGTACTGTATATAAGCACCTCATTCAGATAATATAATCATATTTTCTCGACAAAGCATTTAGGCATGGCTTTCTATAAACAGAAGTGTTGTGATTATTCACATAATTTATGTTACGACTTTGGATGTAGTTTGCATGACTATGGTTATATCTTTGCTTATAATTATAAATTAATTAATTAAAAAAAAAACCCTGACAGGTATGAATTCCCGAATTAATATTTCTGCTACGGAGGCCAATCTGCTATCTGATGTTTGTCAACGGCCAGGGAAGGGGTCACTCTCAGTTGGGGCTGTCCATGATGTGATCCATTGTGATATGGAGACATATATGCGGACTGAAACTGAAGGTGTCTTTAGAGGAGAGGGGTGGGGGAGTTCCGAGGTGGTCTTTGCAAATGACTTGGGATCAGCTGAAGGGAATTTAGACTTGCTTTTTTCCAGCTCCTTCTTTTACTAGGTCAGCCTCAACAGAGGATTCTCTTGAACAGCCACCTCCAGCTCCTTTTCTTCAGTTGGTTACTCAGGTTTGTGAGGTTTTAGGGATCTCCCCTATTGCTTTTGGCTCTATTCCTTCCTTGTTGGTGAAAAGGATGGCTAGTGACTACTAGGTTTTCCTCCTTCTGATATTGCTGTTCATGTTAGTGATTTTACTGCTCAGTGACACAATGGGATGGCTATGCCTTGTCCCCCACATTTATCTGAACAGCATGCTTTGGCTTTTCACAACCAAGAGGAAGTATATCTAGATTCTCAATGGATGGAACCCCTTTTGGACCTGTGGGGTTCTAGTTTGGAACCTGTGATCACTTTGAACAGATAATAATTTTCTCGGATTTGCGTTACTCTCACTACTGTCCTGAGATATTTATCTTCAATCCAACTTTTGTCAGAAGCCTATCAATGTTCTCCTCAGCAATTTAAGGATGAGTTGGGGACTTTGCTGACATCTACTTCAGTCAGATTGTCTTCTTCAGTTCTTTCTCTGGTTTCTTGGCTGGTTTGTTGTTGGGATTTACACCTTGTTAGAAAATGTTCATTTACCATCTTCTGCCCTCAGGGAGTTATTAGAAACTTCTTTTCTCCTTCCCATGTTGTTTACTGGAGTTCCAGAGACATTGGAATCACAAATTGATTCAGCTAGTTTACATTCTTCTTTATCATTTTTAGCTTCTTGCCTTTCTGGTGCTAATTTAGGAGTGTCAGCTTGTAGTGTTTCCCAACCTCCTCCTTTGGTTCCAATAATAGACTCTGTTTGCATTCTTGAGGATCTTGATTCAGACGGACCGTCGACAACAGCATTGGTGACTATACTGTGGACGGGAGAGCAGTGGGAGCATGATTATATCACTTCCTGGACATTTGGAGCTATTTCACCAGGGATTCAGGGTTGGTCATTCAATTTACATCACCTCCACCATTATCTGCTCAAACTGTTGCCTTTTCACCTCCAACAGATCAACGATGAGTGGAGTTTTATTCCCAGGCCAAAAGGTAGTTGAGAAGGTTGATTCTATTCTTGTGGGATTTTATTCCCATTTATTTGTTGTACCCAAGAAGACAGGAGATTGGCATCCAATCATTGATCTGTCTCAACTCAACCAATTTTTAAATCCTCCTCACTTTAATGTGGAATCTTTTCTCCACCTGTGATGGCACTTTGTCCCAGGGCTCTGGATGACCAAATTCAATGGTACTGACATTTATCTCCATATTCCCATAGTGGAATCTTCCCGGAGGTTTCTCAGATTTGTCTACAAGGGCCAGGTCCTGCAGTTCAGGACTGTACAGTTTGGTCTTGCATCAGCATGTTGTGTCTTCCGCAGAGTGGTACAAGCTTTTTCTCATCATCTGCATTATTTGGGTCTATGCACACATCATTATATGAATGACTTCCTCCTTCTGGCATTATCCTGTCGATTAGCAGAACAACACTCTCTCGGCTTCTCCCTTCAGAAGCCACAAAAGAGGGCTTTCTTATCAGACTGGAGAAATGTACTCTGTCACTGACGCAATATCTTGTCCATCTGGGTGTGTTTTTCAATCCTCACTTAAGTTGAGCTCAACCAACCTTTATCAGGTTACAAGCCATGGAAAGAGCTGTCAGGCTTTTACTTCTGTCTCCTCCTACTGTGCAGATGGTTCTCTCCCTTTTGGGGATATGGGCATCCCTCGAACCTCTTATTCATTTGGGATGAGCACATTTGAGGTCTCTTCAGTATTCACTGTGTGACCAATGGACCATGCATTCCAACCCTTTGGATCATCCTGTCTCATTACTCAGGAGCAACATCATTGATTGCAAATGGTGGTCTATTATTGGAGTATCCATTCCACCACCTCGTCCTGAGATCCATCTGTTCACAGATGCATCTCTTCAGAGATGGGAAGCTTATCTTCAAGGTCCGACAATTCCAAGGTGGTTTCTCAGATTTCTCGTCAAGGAGGCAAATATTCTCAAGACCTCTGTTTTCATACCTTGGATCTCCTCTACTGGTCTCATACTCATCATATCAGTCTTTGAGTATGTCATATTCCAGGAGTGATGGATTTATTTGCAAATCACTTGTCATGACCCAACTGGATTCTTCCAACAGAATATATGCTATATCATGAGGTTCTTCAGTGGATTTGCTGTTAGTTCAGGTCTCTAATGATCAATGCCTTTGCAACTCATTGGAATTCTCAACTGCAGTTGTTTGAGTCTCCAATACTTCATTCTCAGGCATTGGCAGTAGATGCATTCAGTCAGAACTGAACAGGTTTGCATCTGTATGCTTTTCCCCCAATTTGGCTATTGTCCCAGAGTCTGACTATGGTTTGTTCCACTCCTTGTCGTGTTCTCTTAGTTGCACCATATTGGTCAGCTTTAAATATGGTTTCCACTTCTTCGTTATCTGCAGGAATGTTCAATTCTACCTCTTCCACACTGGCAGTCTCCGTTGAAACAGCCTTGATCAGACATTCTCCACTCAGATGTTCAGAAACTCAGTCTTCATGCTTGGAAGATATGTGGTCCTTTGTCCGACATAAGGGTTTAACTTCTAAGGTTTCTCCATAGACCAACCACTGCCTTTTATCAATGGAAATGGAATACTTACTGTCACTGGTGTATTAAAAGGAATTTAAACCCTCTCTGTCCTAAAATATCTACCATATCCCATTTTCTGACTTGGGTATTTGAGAGGGGGCTTGCTTTCTGTACAGTAGCTTTGTATAAGGCATCATTATCCACTGTGTTTTTTTGGTTTTTGAATCCTCAGTACTATCAGGTCTACTGAAATTTTTTTGTATTCTTTAACCCAAATGACCTTTTCAATTACCAACTGGAATTTTACAACTGTTTTACATGCATTGTATCACCCTCACTTTGAGCCCTTAGCTTCATGTTCTTTGTTTCACCTTTCTCTTAAATTGTATTTTTTTTTGTCGACTTGTAGAAATCATTGTCAGAGTTGTTTGCAATCCATGTGCATCAGACTCTTTATCGTTCCACGTTTGTCCTGCTTTACCCCGAAAAGTCTTTTCAAAGACTCTGACTGCTAGGGAAGGGGAAAGATCCTCCTCACCGATTTATTTGCCAGCCATTTCTCACCTTTATAACCACTCTGATCCTGATTGTTTGTTATGTCCTGTTAGGACCCTTAAGTTTTATGTGGTGCCACCATGTTAGAGTAATGGGAGATAAATCATGGGAAATAGAAGGATTCCAATGAATGAACAATCAATTTCAGGTAGTAGGAATTGATTGTTCATTCATTGG